TAAATGTGATATAAAAATAAAGTCAGATTCTGATTGACATTGGTTACCGATTATACGTATAGATTTATCAAATTCAACACGATCGCAATTATCGATGATATTAAAGCATATCTAATACAATAATAACACGATTATTATCCATATAACATATCAAAAGAAATAATACGCGAATATTATGCGTAAAGATAATTGATAAATGTGATATAAGAATAAAGTCAAGATTCTGATTGACATTGGTTACCGATTATACGTATAGATTTATAAAATTCAACACGATCGCAATTATCGATGATATTAAAGCATATCTAATACAATAATAACACGATTATTATCCATATAACATATCAAAAGAAATAATACGCGAATATTATGCGTAAAGATAATTGATAAATGTGATACAAGAATAAAGTCAGATTCTGATTGACATTGGTTACCGATTATACGTATAGATTTATAAAATTCAACACGATCGCAATTATCGATGATATTAAAGCATATCTAACACAATTATAACACGATTATTATCCTTATAACATATCAAATGAAACAATACGCGAATATTATGCGTAAAGATAATTGTTAAATGTGATATAAAAATAAAGTCAGATTCTGATTGACATTGGTTACCGATTATACGTATAGATTTATCAAATTCAACACGATCGCAATTATCGATGATATTAAAGCATATCTAATACAATAATAAAACGATTATTATCCATATAACATGTCAAAAGAAATAATACACGAATATTATGCGTAAAGATAATTGTTAAATGTGATATAAGAATAAAGTCAGATTCTGATTGACACTGGTTACCGATTATAAGTATAGATTTATCGAATTCGACACGATCGCAACTATCAACGTTATCAATGCATATCGAATACAATAATAACAAGATTATTATCCATATAACATATCAAAAGAAATAATACGCGAATATTATACGTAACGATAATTGTTAAATGCGATATTAATGCATTTTATTTGGGAAACGAAAATATTGATTCGTGTGAAAAAAATTTTAATTAGCTAAATTGAAAATATATCTCAATAAATAGAAAAATATTGATATTTTTTGGCAATACAATTAACATTTCTAAAGTTATGCCCTCGAACCAGTAAGATTGACTCTTAGAACGTGAAAATCTGATCATTATTTGACTATAGGAAATAACAGAGATTAGTTGTATAAATTAAAACTCACTTTGCACCTGCCTATATGTATTCCTCGTTAAATATTGCCTATTGGTACGGCGAACTATAATTTAATGACATGGAATTGTGATACAATTTGATCAAAATATCATCCCGAGTTCAATGAAAAAGAAGAATTTGTGACGTCATGAACCCGTCATCCTCATTTGCAATCATACTAATAGATTAAAACTGGATTTTTCAATTTCACAATGATAATAAGGAAGAGCGGTGCTGTTCTTTAATTCCTTTGGTTTTCGAAATCTTTTATCCTCATGTCAAAGTGGATGATGGTCAACTATTATAGCTATCTTTCATTCAATCCTGAAATATGACGGCTACGAGTAGGTTAACAACTTATTCCACGGTCATATTGAAACAGAATAAGATGCTAAAAAGAAAGAGAGTTCTAAAAAATATACAATTTTAAAAAAGGAGAATGAGGTTTTTCTTTTTAGGGTAAATTTCTTCTGTTCCTAGAAATAAGAACATAAAAATATTGAATGAAATCAATCAGACTAAAAGCGAGAAATCTACTCATTAACTTTTTGGTTGAATTATCGTCTGAAAATAAGTGTTAGTAGAGCGGCAAAAATCTCTACTAGTTTTAATCTAAATGGAACAGATTTTGTTCCCTGCTGTTTT